CATGAATGAACCAAACACATTGAAATAGATTGTCACCTGGTTCATGAGAAAATTAAGTCTGGTCTACTTATCCCCTCTTATGTCTCAACCTCTCAATAACAGTTGATATTTTCATTAAACCCTTAGGACGTGAATTGTTTGTATATTTTGGATCCAAGTTGGGTATTACGGAGCTCCATATTCTAACTTGAGAGAGAGTATTACAGAATACCAGAATGTGATTAGCGTATATCACCGCCCATTGCACAAATCAAGCTGCTAGAATGTGACTAGCATATATCACTGCCAATTGCACAAATCAAGCGTATATTTATAGATTACTTCCACTATTTGCTCTATTTACCGTGTATAGCTCAATATTTCATATATAAATCTTTGCACGAATTAATGTAATATCATATCAAGAGGAATATACGAGAATTTATCTTCTTCCTTCATCATCAATATTCCTTTGTATCAAATTTCATATAATTCAATTCGAGATATTTGTTACAATTGGAAATGAATGATGAATGATTCTATGGCTTTTGAATAGGAATTAGGTCATACAATTTTATTTTTTTATTTTATTTATTATTATTATTATTATTTTTTTGGGGGGATTGAGAACATGTTTGGCCATATGTAATTTTTAAAATTGCATCTTTCACTGACAGAAGTCACTTATTTCCTAGAAGAGTAATTTTGGACTTAGCTAAACTTGTTATACTATTGCAGCATGGACAATGATAAAATATGAAAGATTAGATAGTTAATGTTTTTTTCCTGGTGAGTTTTAGTCAAAATTGGACATGGAGTTTAATGGCTAGGTAATTCCCTTCTATTACGCATTCTAAGAGTTGGGTCCGCATGATTTTTGAATTTTAGCTTGAAACTGCCTGGGAAATGTTGATTACTCGATTAAATGCTGTTTTTGCTAATTTCTACCTGCGCTTTGTGCGCATATAGTCAGTTCTATGTTAATATATTTGGCTACTCGTGAGGGTTAATTGTGATTCATATGTGTGCTGAAATTCACAATTCAGTTAAAATTGGAGCTTATTATTAACGGGTTAGGTAATTCCCATCTACTATACGTTCTAAGTGTTGGGTCGTGAGATTTTAGAATTTTTTGGATGTAACTGTCTTGAAAATGTGGATTGCTTTTTTAAATTACTATCATTGCTGATTCCATCAGTGCTCCTTGTACATATGCTCACTTTTGTCCTATTACATTTAGTCAAATATGTTTTTTTAGTCATGAATATTATGAAGCCTCAGTTCTTATGGTAAACTTGCATGTTTGCTTAAGCTTATGAGTGCAGGCTGCAATGTGGTAGTCATTTATGCCTCTTTGTTGGGGCTATGGTGATATCTGTTCCACTTAAGTGAAGAAAACTTGTATAATTTTAATAATGATTTCTTGAAAATTCTTCTGGACTTTTAGCCATTGATACCACACGTATCTTGGAGGAAGAATGCAGCAGTTATTTTTTTTTTTATAGAGATGAATTTGGTATGATTTACATAGAGGGATAAATCTTAGCTCACTATATAGAGAAGCATTTGTAGTAGGCTATTCTATCATAGCATCATGGACCTGATAAGCTGTTGGACTCTGTTGAAGCTCAAGTTGTAGCGAATGAGAGGAAGGAACACAGTTATAGAAACACTAACTTGCGATTAAAAAATGTTATTCAGAGTTTAAATTAAAAATAATGTTTCCCGTCAGTATCACAATAGAGGAGTTTTAGGAAACATAATTAGTCAAATGTTTCATCACCTCTTGTCATAGTAAACCATTTTTGTTGTTTCTAATACGACTGAATGGTCTCTTTTCCATTAGATTTCATGTTTTAATTGTTTTTCATATTCTTCACAACTCGAACGATGTCATGTTAACAACCCTTGTTGGAGCAACATCCAATATCACCAAAGTATGACTATACTTATATAAGGTAATATGATGACCTCAAGTCAAAGACCAATTCCACCATCTAACGTTGGAGATTAACTACTGACACTGAGATAGTTATCCATGCAGAATCTCCCAGCGGGTCTCTAATATTTTGTTATATAACAAAACATCAACATATTTATTTAAGTGTTACCACACTTTAACTTGTGAGATCAGCTACTTACTTCACAAGTAAGAAATGTTACACATGAAGGTCTATCTATAATAACGATATCCGTATCTCATTATTATTTTCGATAACAGATAATTTAAGATTCAGTCATATGTAATTTGTATATCACAATCACAACTTTTTGATATTAACAAATTCCTAAAATTTGAATTTACGAACTCTATTAATTTATTGAACATTCTTTTATCAAGTTTTATGGTAGGATAAAAATATCAAACAAAGGAAAAAATAATAAAGTTATTTTTAGAATATTAAAAACAATAATTTTGTGAATAAATCATTGACATTATTACTTGAATGAATTTGTTGAACATCGATATCATCAATATACTTAAGCTTAGGTGTATAGAAAAACTTCGAAGAAATATACTTTGTCATATTTCATTTAATATAAACTCATTTGAGTTGTGCAATACAAGATATTGTTTTCAAACAATATCGTTAGACTATCTTATGTTGAAACTAATCTACTTGGACATGATATGTTATGTTCCTCATTCATACACATTATCGACTTGTTCCATGAATTTCAATAATTTCAAAATTATTTGAATATATTGATGTCAAGGTTTATTTTAGGGATTTTCATATTATAGTTGTTCTACCATGTATAAAAACATTTCATATTTGCGATTTAATTTATGAAGCATCTACATATCCCACCAAATTCTAATTTTTATAAATAAAAATAATCACATACAATAATACATTTTAGTAACGCAAAATATGTATAACACCACGTGTTTGAGTAGCTGTAGAGCTATATCTTTTAAAGAAAGCTACATATGGTCGATTACAATTTACAAGATATGTTGATACTCCAATTACACTACGGTATGGTACTTCACGATGAAAAATATTTTCTCCATCTTCAGTTGGATGAAATTGATATTTTTTACATTGAATGACCGAACAACCATAGATGGTGCTAATAAATGTGTTTTATCAATAAAAAGATTGTTTTAAGACCTTTTCTACATTTGAATATTGATGAACAAATAATCTCTCTTGGAAATGTGTAATTTGTAGCCTAAGACAAAATTTGGTTTTTACCCGAAATTTTCATCTCAAATTTATTTTCAAATAATCTGCAATTTTGTTGATTTTTTCATAAGATTCAATTAGATTTAAATTATCAATGTAAACTGTCATAATTACAACTTCAATATTTGTTTTCTTTTCAAAAACACATAGAGAGATTTTGTCATTTTTATAACTCACCTTCAACGAATATTCACTATGACGATTATATCGTATGCATCTGAATTATTTCAATCTATATAATGATATTTACAATTTATTTGAGAACAAAATCTTGGGGAATGTATCATTTGTTTCCATTACTTTAAGTCCTTTAGGAATTTTCATGTATTTGTCACCATCAAGTGAGCCATATTGATAGGTAATTATTACATTCATAAGGAGAGTCTATGCAATCAAATTAATTAAAAGTATACATATGACAAAATTTGACAAGCTTTTCCCTCTTTTGGGGATATTGACATTGTGGTGGATGGAAAGTGTTTCTCGATTATAGTTTATTTTAATGTTGGAAAGGTTCGATCGCAAATATGTTTTAATTCAAGCTCCTTTTTAGAGTGGAATTTTGGATATTAGATTTTGACCCCTTTTTCCTTGTGCAATACTTTTATTTATAAGCTTTTTAGGGGCATTTTGGTCTTTCGCGAGTTGAAATTCTCATAATATTATGTAGGAAGTCATGATTACCGCTTAAAATTCAAATTTTAATTGAAGTCAAAATCAATAATTAATTTTAACGGCATACTTCATGGGTTCTACAACTTTTCAATCATACATTTCATCAAATTTTTATCAATATTTCCAAAAAAATATAAAAAATATAAACAATTGATTTTAATCCCTAGGGGAAGTCTTATTCTTAAAGCTTGTTGAGGTTCGTGCTTTGAGACACCTGTGTTCAATCTATTGCATGCACGCATGGATTTAATGCACTGAAGTCCTGATTAATTCTATTAGAGTTTGCAATAGATTCCGTCTATATTTGAGGCCTTTAGTCATGTTGTTGGCCGAGCCGAATCATCAAATGATATTTCTATCCAAGTATTAGGGTTTTGCATGCTCCATTTCTCATGGGAGCTTCGATTGCCATGGTATTTATTGCTCAATGTGCCTCGATGGGCGAGGCGCCAATGTTCAACAGTACGCTTGTTAATCCATGGAAAAATAATTATTTTAGCAGGTAACAGCAACAAATTGTAACTTCCTACACCCTTAATTAGACTTACTAGATAGATCCTCCTTGACCTCGTCATCCTGACCTGAAACTCCAGCATTCTCTTCTTTCTCGGCTCAGTTTTCCTTACCCTGGAGAAAACTATGGCCAGTCCTCTCATCAAAGGCAACTTATTGCTGCCCCTTCAGGGTCATTAGAAGAGATTGGATTTGAACTCGTGATCAATTTCTCTCCTGAATTATCCTCTCTTTCTGACCTCTAGCCTACGACAAACACTTGAAACGCTTGTTATCTGAACTCATTACACAATGAGCAAGAATGTGTGCCATCGCAGAGCAAGATTATCTTTATAGTACCTTGACGTGATTTGATAGGATTATTGTTTTCATAACTGAGGTCAAGGGTTACCCTTATTAAAGTATACAGTATTAACTTGTACTAATTAAACAACATAATGAACAAAATTTCTTTTTATTCTTTAAAACGATCTAGTATTGTCAAATTCATGTACTAAGTATTCCACAAAGGTATATATGAATATTAAGTTGCATCTCTTGAAATTATGTGTGCGTGTGGGGAAAGAGAGAGAGAGAGAGCCTTCATGCATACTTCATATTTGTACATGGATCATTCATTTAAATTCATTCGATGGAACATAAGAGAAACTGAAACGAAGTTGTTTATAGTACACATACAAACTACCCAAGATTGAACGGTTGGCAGACAATCTGGAACATTCAATCCTCTACCTAATCTTTATCGAGCCATCCACTAGGTAATTATATTAGTCTATGCACATCACTTGCCATTTCAACCCCCACACACATATAAACATTATGTGTTACAATCGTTCAAGACCTAGAACTTACCAAATCTACATATCACGAACGTGGAAGATATTTGGATTCTTAACAACGATATCGTACATGTAAACTGAGTTGAATCTTGAAAAGTCTCTTGGTAGAGAAATGAGATCAATCGAAGAATGTTTGTGGAATTGGAGGAGCTGCGGATCTCCTCGATAATACCTCTCCCAACCCAAGCCAGTCAAAATTTGTTCGAGAGATTTATACGATGCCACTACCTCGTTTGTTGGCAAGTGTACCAAAACCTTTCTTCTTGAAGTACCGGCGCTATTATTGCCCTCTTCGTCGGCTCCTGGATTTTCAACTAAGCGTATCACCCCATTATTCTTGAATACCCAAACTCCGGACATTATTATTAATTTTTTTTTTATAAGGGAAAGAACTATGAAATTCTTTTTGCGCAAGTACTGAGGGAAACAATGAATAGGGTGGTGGATGGTGGAGGGAGTGAAGAGTTGGAGGGGTATATATAAGTGTATCGTGGGACATAAAAAAACAAGAGAAAAATATTCTTGAAGTGGGATGAAAAGACGGGCTTATTTTTAAAACTTTGTAATAGAATCTATTAGATGTTTAGTTATTTTAGTATGTGGGAGGCATGAGATTGCCTTGTACTATTGTTCTTCATTAGATAAAAACAATAATTCAAGAGGAGGAAAAAGACACAATCTAGCTGTGAAGCTTGAAAAAAAATGCCTCGAATATGAAAAACGAATGTGTCATGTCAGACGAAAATCAACGATAAAACTTGGATGTATGTCTCAATGGGAGGAGGAAGTGCTATAAAGAGGAAAGCGATTGCTGAATGCTACTCGGATTCACGCCTCAAGAATAAGTTTACTATTTAGAGAATAAAGATATATACACAAACAGTACTGCCCCATATTTATTTTTCTAGATTTTCTTTATTTTGAGCTAAAATCTTTTCCATTTCCTTTTCATTTCTTAAGTTTTCGTGTGATTTAGATATATCCCTTGATTTCCTTTAATTCCCTTTTCTGGTTTTCTTTCTCTTTTTTCCTGCTTGAAGTTGTTCATTTGCTGAATAAAAATCATTTCAAAGATGTGAGACTGTGATTTCTGTCTGTCTAACAGAAAAAAATCCTTTCCTGTCTGAAAAAAATAATATATGGCTAAATGAATTCTAACGAGTTCCAAATCTGTAGTGAGATAGCTAAAATGAGTCCATCAATCACATATAACTTTTGAGGGTATCGTGGCATAACTCTTACGGTAAAATTCTCTTCTTAGATTGACATATGAAACTCCAATATATATATGATATATTATCAGAATTCAAAAGGTTTAAATAAAAGTCTAAGACTATAACTAGCCACTAAATTTCAAAATTAGTGCTCTCAAATGAGCAAAAAGCAGTTTTTGTTTTTTTTTTTTTTTTTTTTTCACTTTGTAACACATGGCAATATATTTACAAAAATTTCTTGTTCGTAAGTTAATTTTTCTCTTATACTATTACTCCTACTTTCAATGTTATTCATTAACTCACAACTCTGATATGCTCAATTTGCATGACTTAAAAGACTTCTAACTTCAGTTCAATTACTTCGTATAACATCACTCTTTCACCAACAAGTCACATTAAGAAATGCACTTTCGATTCAAAAATATATATATAGATTATAAACAAAATTAATGGAAATTCCAAACCCAAATTAAAGTGAGATGACATGAGAATATTTGATTAAGAAAATTTTACTCTTTATATTTTTGTCATTAACTAAGCCCTTTGTTAGAGTTTGATTCTTTGAATCACTTCTCTTCAACACTCATTTTCAACTACGCATTCTCAAAAAATTATTATTTTTTCACATTTTTCTATAATTTTTTCTTACTTTTTAATCACAAATTCAACAAAAAAATAAACTTTTAAAGAATCACATCTTAAAGAATCAAAATTAAACAAGCGCTAATAATATTTTGAAATTAAAGAATAAAGAGAAGTCTACTGGAATCAAGATTCTTCTTGTGATCTTCTTGATTACTCTTCTAATATTAAATTTCCTATGGTTAAATCTTTTAATTTATTTGGATGCAATTCCCACATTCTAGAATAACCTTTTACCTAATTATGATTGTCACTTTTCAAAATTTGTCATATGATTGGAGAATAAATCAAAAGAGGTTTCCACTGTAATGCACAAGTCCCATCAGACATTCCATAAAAATTTCATAGCATTAGTTTACCAAAATTCGATTCTCTACCAAACATGTTGATATATGTGATCAGGTTAATAAATTTTTACTAACATTGTTTTTCATGTAGTGATAGTGGAATCATATAAAGATATCGAATAGACGATTAATGTACCAAACTATACCTTATATTTATTAATACGCATTCCCATCATTTTCGCAACTAATAGAGTAAGATGTGTACGATGCAAAAGAATTGAAACTATTAAAGTAAGATGTGTGTCGGTTACACAAAAAATTGTCTGCGAATCCTTGCATTGACTTACTCATGACAACTTTTTTGCTACCCTATGACCTATAACGCTAATCACTACTCTCCTTAATGGGATTCGAAAGTAAATTCCAAAACTCAATGAAGTGACATTATCTCATAATATAATTGTAATAAATGTCTCCATAGCAGATCTTTTTGTTGCTTCACTAGTATAAGGAGCTTTTGTTCCCATAATGGCATTTTTATATAAGTTTAAAAAAGTAAATGTTACTTCTAACTTATTAACTCCAAACATGTGTAAATATACTACTTTCTATTGTCTAAAAATAGTTATTTATTTTGAAAACTTCTTGTTACTTTTAAAAAAAAAAAAGGTAATTTGTTTATAGGATTGCCAAATTCTTATATGATTCTCTTGCTACCCCAACTATGAAAGTTGTCTATTTTATATAAAAAATATGTGAAGTAATAACTATCGAAATATCAATAAAAGCCTTAATTTTTCAATTTCTTTCTCCACCCTTTTAACTATATTACAGTGTCAAAAAAGCCTTAATTTTTCAATTTCTTTCTCCACCCTTTCGACTATATTACAGTGTCAAAAAAAAATGGCACGTCGTCCCCAAGTCAGGTAGAACAACAAAATAAGCAGCAAAACATCTCAATAATTCTTTATTGTCTTGTAAAAGAATTTAAATTTGGTGGGGACACGACACTCCTTTCTCATTATTGATTTCGCTAAAAAAGTTTATAAAAATTTAAACAAATATTTAATATTATTCATGCATTTCAAAGAATCCATGCCTTTTTTCCTTTTTCCAATAATACATTTCATCAATTTTTATTAAAATCTACTAAAAATTTAACTTTTAACAAAACTAGACAGAATCTCTGTGTAATTTTGCCAGCTAAACACAACCCACCGTTACAATTCAAAACAATACATAACTAGAACTTGGTAAGAAAATATTGCACATTTCAAAATTACTGTGTATAATTTCATCGTGTATTCATGTTCATTAAATATCGGGGAAAAATATATATATGCAAATACTTTCTATGCTAATCTGCCATATATTCCTTAAATAATATTTCTCCAAATATACATTAGCCAAGAAAACAGTGCATGGAGTTTCTTCCTACCTATCTATATTGTTTACAGTCCTTGAGGCGAGTATTCTTAGTTTCTTACAACCTCGTCCATTATCGTTTATCGTTTCATAGTATTCTTCACTTATAGAGACTTTATCAGCAAAGGTTAAAGGGAGTTCTTCATGAGCCACGTCCTTCCGATCAGACCAACTTTCAAAACTAATCTCATCTTTTAAGTTGTCATCTCGATGCTCATCATCTGAGACCGAATCCTCTATGTTCCGATATAAATGCTTTAATATAAAAAAGAGCAGTATCATAATCTCTCCATAGTTCCTGTAAAAGAATTCCCAAAAAAATAATATCAGTTTTCCCATTCAATTTCATAGGTAACAGTTTGTCAAGGTTAGACACGTGATGTGTAAAGATGGCACCAAAAAAAAAAAAAATTAAATAAAAATAATAAAAAATAAAAGAAAAGAATAAAAAATAAAATAAAAATAACAACAACGACAACAACTGTAAATAGTAGGTTCAGGTTTGAAAATATGTATGTGAACTGATGGAAGATATGCAGGGATGTTGAAAAGTTTCATCCTGCATTAGAAAGAAACCCAAAATAGATCAAAAAAATGTCCGCTTTGATGGGGAAATACAGTAAAATAGCCTAAAGAAAAATGCTACTTTTTTTCATTTTAGCCTTTAACTAATTCAGGTACCTAAAATACCCTTATATAAATATTATACATAAGTCTTTATTTTATAAAAACTTTCCATTCAAGTCCTTAAAAATTCTAAAGAATATAGCCTCTATTTGAATAGATAAAGATTTTAGTAGATTTATAGATTTATTTGATTTTTGTTCGCTCAAAATAGCATCCCCTAATTGGTATCAAAGCCAGGTTGATCATGGAAATTAAAATAGATAAAATAAATGATTATTGGTATTTAGAAGAAGAAAAAGGAAGTTATATATTTTTAGAACTTATTCCTAATAAATTAAAAATAACGATACTAGCAATAGTCAAAGAATTACCCAAAGAAATAAAAGAACAAATGTTAGAAAAATTAATAATAGGATCAATAAAAGATATATATATTTATGAAATAATTATTAAAGTATATGAAGATGAAGAAATTAATATATATTATAAAGAAAAGTATGAGTGTGAATGATAATACAGATTTAAAATTGAATAGATTAATTGCAAATATTAATAAGATACAAGAAAAATACAAGATATAATATTAATACCGGGTGGAATAAAAGTAAAAGAAAAATAGTTAATAAAATTAAAGTGTGAAAAATTAAAAATACAGATTAAATGCTTTAAGATAATAAAAGAAGAACTAGTAAATTCAAAGTTTGCTAAAGAAAGTTTTGAAAAAATAATAGAAGAAAAAGAAGATAAAAGATGTAAATTAACTTATATGTTAGAAAGATGATTAAGAAAGATTAAGATGTCAATAAGTGAATATATGGAAGAATTAAAATCATTAATAAAAATGTTGATAAATGATGTTCAAGATTTAAGAAATGAAGTAAAAGAAATAAGAAATAATATAAATATATTAAAAATTGAAATTAGAGAATTAAAAGAAAATAATAAAAAATAAAGAAAAGAAAATAGATAAAAAAATTTATAGAAAAAGAAATGACCCGAATAGGAAAGAAACATATTGAAAAAGAAAATATAGTATTAGAAACGAGAAGTATGGATGATGAATTTAGAATGAATATATTACCTAAAATATTAGAAGAAGAAGAATTTAGAGAAAAAATATTAGGAAAATTAAAAATATAAGAAAATGAAGAAAATAAAGATGAATGAAGAATTATATTTACTTATAGAAAATTTCGATCAATTAAGCTTAAGTGATATGAGTGAATACCAAGTTTTAATGAATACTGAAGGGGGACCTAATCCA